TTTTGACTGTCAAGCTTGTTCTTTTTGACTGTCAAGCTTGTTCTTTTTGACTGTCAAGCTTGTTCTTTTTGACTGTCAAGCTTGTTCTTTTATTCTGAACTTTTCTCCTTTCCGTTTTTTCCTCCTTTCTCGTATTTCAGCTGTTCGAGAGAGATCCGGCATGGTAAACCACAGACGTGGGTGATATTCTTGGAGATGGACGCTAGATTCAGTATTTCAGTATCATTAAACAACCTTACAGACTTTAAAAGGTCTGTGAACCCATGCAATTAACCAATCAGTTAGATTAGCGGAAAAGTAAACAAAAAGAAGACGTATTATGTGGCCATTCGGTTGACACTCACTCCTCTCTGGAAGCCAACACCTCTTGGTGCAGAGCATGAGCCTGTTCGTATCGGCCGGTGTCTGAGTACAGGTAAGCCAGCTTCAGCTTGACCACACCAATGTTGCGCTTCTTGAGGGTGTCAGAAGAAGCCATAGAGTCTTCCTGATGAGAGAGGAACAATGTATGCGGTTAATTTCGCTTTTGGTAAGAGATTTTTGGCACTTGTGACACAATAAGGTCATATAAGTGGCGAAGATTTGTGGTTTTACAAGAGAATAACAAACACAACAAAGGAGAAGTAGAGATAAAGACGTTTTTAGTTTAAGTTTTAGTAGAGGTTTTACGGCGCTCGCCACTGCATAATAAGGTCATATGAGTGCCAAAAGATTAGAGGTGTTACAAGAGAGTAACAAACATAAAAAAGAAAAAGGGGAGATGAGGACGATAGGTGTTTGATAGGAAAGAAGAAGCAAACCACACCAGAGCACCCGCCAACCACCCACAGATGAGGACGTTAGATGTTTGATTTGAAAGAAAGAGCAAACCACACCAAAATACCTGCCAACAAACCACAATACATGCACAATACAGACAATGTATATTTGCAATAAAAGCTGCAACACAGGTAATGTACAATTTCAAAACAGGCACATTTTAGACATCATACTCTGCAATACATTTATATTATAGAATGTGTACCTTTGCAATACAGGAAAAATGCAGACAATGCACTACATGTACACTATATGCATAATACATTTGGATTACAAGCGACTTATAGACATCGTACTTTTACAATACATGGGCGCGTCACATTTACTATAATTATAATCAATATTATGATGAGACAAGTCGTGAACGACTTAATACATTTAGCAAAAAGCATTTTTTCCGACAATAGGAAATGGTGCCTCTAGAGCAATACTGTGGAGATCATAATGTTTTGAAAATTGTGAAATCAATTTTCCTTCAGCAAAGCAGAATAATAATATTATTATTGTCTTTTTTCTTCTTTTTTCGTTGTTACTCTCTATCCTTGCTTGAAATCTTACTTCTCAGGTAAACGCTGTCACAGATGGGCATTAAGGGAAACAACAATCTAAATAATATTTGCTTCCTGGGCATACTGATGGCTAACCTCCCTTATGTTAAGGATTAAGGGTTGTTGATCGAGGGAACAGAGCTCTGACCTAGATCATTTCCAACCTCGCATCCTTTACGCACTGACGGCTACTCGTACCAGAGGTAGGGAGATGAATGAATGACACTGGTTACGTCCAGGTTTTAGTTTGTAGTGTTAAGGGGGGGGGGGGGGGGGGGGGGGGTGCTACACCTGGAGGCTATCTCGCTTATTACTGGACCGAATTTTACCAAATTTTAATTTCACACATATAACAAGCATAGTAAGGAGTCTTAAAATCCGCTATCAAATTTGAGAACAAAGTTTCGTTTCCATGGATACGCCGCCATATTGGATTTTATTGACATGTCTTACGTAATGAATACCGCACTTATCCCGCATGGAAATTGATTGTTTTTTTGCATGCGTATTTACAAACATTAAATCTAAATATTTGTCTGTTGTTTTTTTCCTAAACGAATCAGAAAATTTTTAATGAATTTCTTCCTGAGGTAGCATTCAAGTTTGCGAAAAATCCGTGAAAATCCACACTCCAGACACCACCAACAAAAATCTATTCCATATATCAAAATTTCAACAGACAAATGTTTTGTATTACATCTTCTCTTCATTCTGTGAAAATTTCATGAAGGTTGGGTGAAAAATGGTGGAGTTATTCAAAAAGTATGGAGAAAAGTCGCGTTTTCAGAAAACGGCCGATAAAGAAAAATAAAATATTGACTTTATGAAGAAATGGTGGTTACAAACATGCCCGGTATGGGAAAAAATACTGTTTTTTGGGGATTCATATGCGATGAAATAGCTGTAGGAGAGGCTGAGGAAGCTAAAAATGCCTACAACTCAAATTCCATGATTTTGAGCCGAAGTTTGACTTTTGGGGAGTAGCCCCCCCCCCCCCCCCCTTAAAGTTCTTTTTTAAGAAGTTGTGTGTGTGTGTACGTGAGTGTGTGTGTGTGTGTGTGTGTGTGTATGTGTGTATGTGTGTGTGTGTGTACGTGAGTGTGTGTGTGTGTATATGTGTGTGTGTGTGTGTGTGTGTGAACGTGAGTGTGTGTGTGTGTGTGTATATGTGTGTGTGTGTGTGTGTGTGTGTGTGTGTGTGTGTGTGTGTGTGTGTGTGTGTGTGTTTGTGTGTGTGTGAACGTGGTGAAACACCAAACCAATGTGCCAGGATCTCTGCAATAAATAATATGTATCTGACCTTATCTTATCTTATCTTAATTGATTATTTAAACATGCGTTTAGCAACAGCATCTAGCAAGTACCTGGCAACCCAAAAATGCATCGTCCGTTTGTTGAATAGGGCGGGCTTTTGTTTAATTTGATTGCCTTGTGTGTTCTTTTTTGTTTTTTCTTTTAATCTTTTAGGTAACATGTTTCCGCCAGGTTATTGTCCCAGTACTACTTAAACTCCAAACTATGCTCACCATGATTCCCAGCTGTGCGTTCAGGACTCGCTCTTGAGCCGACTGGTAGTGGCCCATCTCCAAAAAATAGGACAAGGCCCCTAGGTACGGAAGGAGCTGAGGACGAATGAAGAGCTGCATTGTATAGATCAATCGATAGATAGATAGACTGATAGATAGGTAGGCAGGTAGATAGATAGATATATAGATAGATAGATAGATAGATAGATAGATAGATAGATAGATAGATAGATAGATAGATAGACAGATAGATAGATAGATAGATAGATAGATAGATAGATAGATAGAGATAGATATATAGATAGATAGATAGATAGATAGATAGATTGGTAGAGAGGTGTTTTTGGTGCAGCCTCTTCCAATTTCCCACTACAAAGTCGGAGCATACTTGGTTTCTTTGTTACTCCCCCCCCGCCCTCCCCTAAACTTCCTGTTCTTCTCTTTTATTATACCCATTCGAACTCACCATTTTGTTGGTAGTACTGAACAAATAAATGTGTTGGAGTTAATTTGTCAGCCTTGAAAATGCTTTGCAGACCCTTCGAAAGAACAGACAAAGGATGCATTGCAGTTAATTTATGGTAGTGACTGACGCCTGTGGTGTAATAATTAGGCTCTTCAAAATTACCCTCAAAAGACAAAAGTTCGATTCCCACGTTGAGAAGCTTACTTCTTAAAGTAGGTCCATATTTCTGCTCGAATACTTTATCCAACAAAGATATAGTTGGCACTGACAGGCAAAGTAAGTTGTCACCACACCACACTCCCTCTCACAAAAGTCCAGTTTGTTTATAAAGGGGCCTAAAACTGAAGTCATGTCATGTGCTAGAATAGAAGGCTGGAAAGTAAGGGCAAAAGAGAACTATTCGGAGAAGATACTCATTGATTAAAGTTAGGGTAAACAGATGTTCATCTGTCTGTCATGAACACGAGCACAATTAGCGGTAATCAAAAGGAGGTGAGAAGCCTAAACATGACTATTTAAATTGTAGCTGTATCGAGATAACGTTCCTATTTCTTCCCATTAGGAGATCTTTTGTTATCATTGGACTGACGGCTAAAATAAAACGATTAGCTCACTGTGATGTAAATCATGGCCTTGAGCTGGGAGCTGTCCTTCAGTTTAGAGGCCAGGTCTTTTCCCTTGGCTTCTATGGCCGTCAGGTACAGTTTGGCTATGTCGTCACCTGTCATTCCAGTACTACGCCACAGATCCACCAGCTCGTACTCTTGGTCGCTGAAAATAAAACAGTGATAATATTTTTCGATTGCAGCATGTGTAACTCCCCTTGCACGCAATGGAAATTGCAAAAGTAGGCGAATCTATGAAAAACCTAATTATGATATAAAGTAAAATAGTACACAAAAATTTTATCAGATCGACCAGCTCGTACTCTTGGTCTCTGAAGATAAAAAAAAATTGATAGTACTTAACAATTACCGTATACGTAAACCCCCTTGCAGACGACGTGATTTACAAAAGTAGGCGAATCTATGAAAAACATAATTATGTTGAAATGTAAAACAGTACACAAAAACGCCATCTCTCTTTTACATGCTTTTCCTGTAGCTTTCAAAAAAATGGGAAACAACACAAAGTTGAAATCCTGCTGACAATTTATACATATAAACTTCAAAAAGTGTTCGTCTCATTGGTTCAGAAAACATTAGCTCAGGAAAACTTTTTTTCCTCTGTCACATAAATGTCAAAGTATGAAATCATAGTGTTTCTTTAAACTTTAAATGAAATGAAGTCGTACTTTAGAAGCTTTTGCTTTACTAATAATATTGAGGACAGGGTGTTTTGGCTTTTGTAACTTTCTTAAAAGAAATTTATTAGATGGTACTTTTTCTTCTTCTTTTGGTGTCAGGTCTGGAACAGACATTGACGATCAAGGCACCCCATTCATTCCTGTTGTCTGTCTTTTTGATGAGGTAGCTCTCTTTTAGTGTGACTTCACCTTGAATAGACCGTATCCAAGTGTACAAAGAGCAAGAATACTTTTTTGTTCGACCCTATCCGGTGCTGACAGAAGTCTCCTTCAGTATGACATTTCATATTAACAAGTTAGCGGTACTCTCAAACTTACAGAAAGAGTCTTGAGAAGATCTGTAGGTCTGAGAGAACTTCCGTGAGTTTTTTCATGTCCTTCATCTCTCTCAACAGCCACGGCAGTTCAAGGGCGGGCCGGGTCAAGGTCGGGTCATCCAGTTTTAGATCATCAGAGCAAGACTGTGAGATACGACATTGTTATATTATTGTTGCGAAAGTTCAAAAGTGGGTTACATGGGGAACGATCTTATTAGGATAAAATAAATGGATTGCAACCAAAAAGACAACAACGTTTACAATGTTTATTTTGGCGTGGTATTTTCAAGGTTTTCACGTCCTGAAAACGATTTATCAATAGTATTCTTTTAATGCTACTGCATGATGTTGGGTTAAAAAAAAGTGCGTTCTTTCATACAAGTCGTACTTCGTTCGATTCTTGGCATTCCTTATTGAAAGCCATGTACTTCACCAAACACATTTTCCACGGGAACGTTATCATTGATGGGGTTAAAAATATAGAGTATTTATCATTAAAGTTGGTAATAAATGTCGTCATTGCTCACCTTTCTTTGTTCATCAAAATAGTTGGCAATAATTTTCTGGTACTTGAATCTGGGGTGAAAAAAAATAAAGCAGGTCAATTATTAGTATAATGCAAAAGATCTCCACGACTTATATCTGTAAACGTTTTGAAATTAGGTGTGTGTGTATGTGTGTGTGTGTGTGTGTGTGTGTGTGTGTGTGTGTGTGTGTGTGTGTGTGTGTGTGTGTGTGTATGTATGTGTGTGAAAGATAAAGAGAAAGGAAGAAAAAAGAAATACGAATGCCTACAGAGAGACTAACAGGGAGACTAACAGACAGACGGAGAGACAAACAGACACAAAGAAGCAGAAGGAGACAGACGGAAACAGAGAGGGGGATGAATGTGGGTGTGGAGTACGAATTAGAAAGGGAGAAAAAGAGAGGGAAGCGATAGAAAGATATACAGAGAGGGAAAGAGAGAAGAGATAGACAGACAGACAAAAAGACAGACAGATAGACAGACAAACAGACAGACAAACAGAAAGACAGACATACAGACAGCAAATGGAAGCAGAGGCATAGACAGATGGAGGTTTGAAATCTCCGGTACGATCCCTCTTTTTCTAACACTGACCAGTTACACATTTACTGTATCAACCCTGGCATTACGCAACTTGTAAAGTAAATCAAATGACACATCTATAACAATGTTATTCCAATTAAATTGAAAATTATGTTGCTACCACATTTATTTAAAAGTAGTTGACAACCATTTGTCCCTTAACCTAGTTCAAAGACTTTGAAATCTCTTTTTTTAGTACATGTGCATGAATTTGCAAACTGAACAGAGACATGGGGGTTTTAATTTTCTCTGGTCAACTCTTGTATATTATTATTTGTCATCTAAATAGCAGGTTTTCTTTCATGGAAAAAATCTTCAACTGAAGACTGCTGGGATGTACAAACTCGACCAACCTGCAAATACTTATGGTTCGAACCAAAATGATGTACCAGTTTTCCTCTTCCTACCAAGATTATTTTAACACGTATCAGCGGATGTTGATTAAGAAGGTGGGGAGGGGTGAATATGTTGTGCATAATTTATATCTAATAAGTCACTTTTCATAAAGAGTTAAATGACAGCACATAATTTGACTCACTTCGTCATCTTGTCTTTCAAATATCGACTCTCAACAGCTTCTCGAAGTTCATTGAAACCGAATCTGAAAAAATATTGACAAAGAGAAATTAAACTTATTTTATGGCTTATTAGTTTAAATATGTTTGGGGTACGGTGCAGTCTTCCTCAATGGAGCAGAGCTGGAGACCCATACTAATCAGCTAACGAAGGCATATAAACGCGCAGAGACGTTATTTTAACGCATAAATAGGTATACATAATATGTACTTGTACGGTTTCAATAAAAAAAAAAACACGAAGTGCCCTTATATGCAGACAGGAATATTCAAACAAATTACCTACCTATGCACTTTCTATATCATTACACACAAATGATATTCAACTTTACAAACTAAATACATATTAATTATTTACATGCGTTTTCGTCCTCACGTGTCAGCACCAAAAGCAACAACTCATCTATATTCATCCAGAAACCTTATTTACTAATAATTGTTTGTTTTAGTAAGGTTTTACGGCGCTCTCAACTGCGTAGGGTGATATGAGCGCCAAACGGGGAATCAGGCGTAGTCTGCTCACCTCTCTAGCCTCAACAACACAGTCTGCTTCGACTATCAAGGCACCCTAGAAATACCAGTTCTCAAGAGAATGACAAACATTCCAAAAATGAGGGGGGGGGGGGGGAATGACGATAGTAAGGATGAGGAAAGAAAAAGCATCAGTTCTCCCTATGTTGTTCCGGTACAGTATGAGCATGACATTGATAAATCAGCCCATTTACAATTCTACATGTACATAAGAACATGCTAACATCCCCCTTTGGGAATGGCCCAAAGACAACTTCAGTCAGTAGCACTGCCCTGGTGGGGTGTAATTATACATAAATACATACACACACACACAGTTATACACATACACAACCACCCTCACCCACCCCTCCCGCAAACGCACACACGTATGCACATCAAATACAAAAAACTACCGGAGAAGTCCAGCCATTTCGGTAATGACGTCCTGCATGGCAAAGAACAGGGGCGACCACTCGTGGGAAGGAATGGAGTGCATGGCCATCAGTTCTCCTTCTGAGAGGCCTTCGCGAGATACACAGATTGAGCACAATACCTGGAGAAAGGGAGTGGCGGTATAATGAAGGATGTTTTGATATTTTGGCGTTACGCTTGTGCAAGTTTCATAATCTTATTTCTGGAATAAAAAAGGCTAAAAAGCCCTATAAAGTGTCGTTTTTCGTTTTGACTCCTGAAAATACTTTGGGAAATAGGGATGCATCGTGCCCCTCTGTAAACACGATAATGTCATAACCCCTTTTAACGATAATCGACTTCCCAATATTATCATCGTCAACACCATGATTCTCATCACTGTTGTAAACTTCGAGAAAAGGAGTACATTACAGAAACTTGTGATGGGGAGGAATGAAAATGTTATTGTATTATCAGAAAATTAATGTCCAACGTTTTGCCATGTTCGGACATTATCGGGAACATAGTGAGAGAAAATCATTATCATCATCATCATCATCATCATCATCATCATCATAATCATCATCTGCTGTCGGCATAGTGTTCGGCAATATTATCTTCTCATGCTCATTTACCTGTTCCACAATATTTCCTCTCTTCGTGTCGGTTATGTAGTCGGCCTCCAGTCTGCGAATGAAGCTTTGGAATAGCTCTTGGACACTGTGAACGTATTAGCAAATGGTAATTAAATACAAGTCGATCTGTATTTCTTTTATGTCATATCATTTTCAATTTTCTTTAATCCTACCCCGTGGGAAATAAGTGGCTTTTCCAATAACAGATTACACTTATAGACCAGCGCTGGCTAACCTGGGAGAGATCGCCTGCGAGTGTGTGATATGCTAATTTTGGTAGACGGGGGGCTGGTGGGGGGCCGCACATGGATAATGACAGCTAATGTTCAGAAATACATTATGAAGTTGCATTTTGGACAGTACAAAATTGTTGCTTCTCAAAGGTGGCAAAAGTGAACGCTGGCTATAAAAATATGGTTGACAAGCATTGGATCAGACTGTACTATTTCGTAAAAGGTATTATGGATAAGGGAGGAGATAGACAAAATGGTTATTGTCCGTGTGATACATAATCCTGCTTATTTGGCATAATGTCTGGGGAGACAATAAACTTTTACACTAAACGTAAATTGTCCCCACCTGTCACACGCCATGAGCTCATCAATTTTCTCGTCAAGCTCTCGGAAACGGCCAAAAGCACAGAGCTCCTGAATAAAAGAAGAAACACGTTTTTACCAAAGAATATCTAATATTTAATATCCATTGAAATGCTTAAATTAGTTCTTTACTTTATTTGTGTATTTTAGTACGTATATGCTTCTTTACTCTGATATATACTATATACATAATATATTTTTGTTATTCTGTTATAAACATATCCCTTTATTCATGTGTGATTATGTCCTTTGTTTATGTCTGTATTCATTCATTCATTTTTGTAGCATCCTCTACATCTAATCTTTCAATATTAATCAACGTACTACGTAATTGAGTTTGATGCTTTTATTACAAAATTCATTACTTTTCGTTCTGTTTAAAAAGGAAAGAAGTTATGGCATTTCTATGCATGTTTAGCCTTTATTTCTGTTGTCCCAGATAGATAGAAGACAGACAGACAGACAGACAGACAGACAGACAGACAGACAGACAGACAGACAGA